CCCCAAAACCCCAAAACCCCAAAACCCCAAAACCCCTATAATCCAAGATCCACCTGAGATCTTATAATAATTATGAATAAAAAGATTTTAGCAGTATCTTTAGACGCAGTCAAGGTATTTACAGACAGCAGGTAAGCTCCCTTGGTTCATGATCCTAGTGAAGGGAATTTTGTAGTAGAGATTACCTGTGGCAAAGCTAGCAAGGTTATACATAAGCAAGCTGGAGGAGGAAGCTTTAAATCAAAGAAGAAAGTTGAGTTTATCATTACTTCAGAGAATTTCATCACTGTTAGCTTGTTGAATAATCAACATTATGAAGATGAAGCTCTTTCGAGTGCTTTGTATTCTTTGAAGGACTGTTTGATAAGTGAGGAAGACCATGTGAGAGTTGAACTCATTCAGAATGGTGAGGTCATTGCAGAAGTCTTCCTCGAACTGAGAGTTTGAGATCACAAAAATGATAGCTCTGATGGAGAAAAAGATACGGAGATGCCAATCATAAATTCATATGATGCAAATGAACACAATAAAGAATTCTTTGGTGCTCATCTGAATTACTCCGCAATGCCTTCCTACTCTCATGCATCATCAATTCCAATGAAGGGCCTATACCAGGACCTCGGCGAAGAGCTCATCGTGTCTGAGTTCAAGACTGTATCAGACCATCGCTCAGATCGCAAAAGCTTCGATTCATCAGAAGATGCAGAATTTCATGACCACTTCGAAATCTCTCCAGAAAAATGGCTAGAAGATAACTCAAGCTCTAGAAAACTCTCTAACCCTGCGCCTCCTTCCTATACCGTCCCCTACAACCCATTCAGTTCACTAAAGTAAAGAATTTCAACACCAGGATCTCTCCTAATTTGTACTAAAAATACATAAAATATCGATTTTTCTTCTATAACTCTCTCAATCTTCCTAAACTTATTCAATCTACCCAAGAGCCAGGCTGATGCCTGGCTCTTGGGTCTGGTGCATAACTGCAGAAATGTAGAGCCTTGAAGAAGAAATAAGCCATTTTCATCAATTTTCAGCTTAAAAATAGCTTAAGGGGTTTTGGGGTTTTGGGGTTTTGGGGTTTTGGGG